ATTTCTATTCGTTAATCGCGTTTCGTTAAGAACGATTCTTTTATCAATTGTATTTACCTTAGCTTGCCAATGCAACGGTCATAGTAAGTGTCTTCCAAACAGCAGTGTTTGTATTCAACCGTGTGGAAATTTAACTTACGGACAGAATTGTGATAAATGCATTCCCGGTTATTACGGGAGTCCTTTGAACGGGGCAACGTGTCAACGTAAGATATATTACTTTTCTATATAATATTACAAACATTCAATTCCGGGTGTAATCTTTACATTGTATTAAATCAATGTTCCAGCGTGCTCCTGTAATAATCAAGGCACACAATGTTCTAGCGAGACTGGTAAATGTTTTTGCACGACCAAAGGCATCGTTGGAGATCATTGCGAGCGATGTGACGTAACGGGTCTTTATTATGGCGATCCTACGAACAAAGGGTCATGTTTCTGTAAGTTCTCTCTACCTCGTTCTCCCCCCGCCCCTCCCTCCTTTCTCTCTTGACGAATTCTTGAGATACATATTTTCTTTTACTGGCGCGCGCGCGCGCGAATGTTTTCAAATTGATTCCTATTGCTTTCAGACGACTTGGCTATTGATTATCAATTTACCTTTAATTTAAGTAAAAAAGAAGATCGGCATTATAGAGCGATCAACTTTAAGAATTCCCCACCGAAAGCTGATATCGATGCCGAGTTTTCTATAACTTGTTCAGTACTTGCAAAGATGAACGTTACTATTAAAAGACCAAACAGTCTAGAAAAGCCACTTCTTTTGGGTGCCAATTGTACGACAAGCATGTATAAGCATCGCTTTAGCAAGGCGGACTACAATTTTGGTAGCGAAGAGAACAATACGTTAACAACGTTCTATGTATACGTTTATGACTTTCAGCCACCGTTGTGGATTCAGATTTCATTTTCTCAATATTCAAAGTTAAATCTGCAACAATTCTTCATAACTTTTTGCACGTGAGTATCTAAATTTAGAATCATCTCAAAGTCTTTACGTTTATCATGTAACACGTAATAATTGATACATGCGAATGATGAAAGTAATGCCATTGGGAATATTTCTTTTTCTATTTCTTTTTTTTTTCTTTTTGTTCTTTTATAATTTTTTTTTCCAAATTGACTATATGCTTTCTGCTATTGTAAGTCTCAGGCAGTACTTACTTGTAAACTAGAGATTATATGCCACCGCACAGGTGTTTCCTTGCCCTACTTCTAGTAGCCGCGATTTTATGGAAGATCAAACAAAAGTATGACATGTACAGAAGAAGGCAACGACTATTCGTGGAGATGCAACAAATGGCCAACAGGGCCTTCAGTCAAGTACTCGTAGAAATAGAGAGGCGAGACGTCGTCGACAACGATACTGACAGAGGTGACGGTGAATACAACAATTGTCGAAAAAAGAAAAAGGTTGGTGACATTGTTGTTTACTGGTATGAAAGCTTTCTAGCGAGAAAGAGAGAGAGAGAGAGAGAGAGAGAGAGAGAGCGAGAGAGAGAGAGTTTTTACAATATTATAATATTTAGGATGCACCTAGTCCGATCGCACTGGAGCCCTGTTCTGGTAACAGAGCAGCAGTCTTATCCTTGCTAGTCAGATTGCCTACCGGTGGTGAGCCGTTTACTCCAGCTGGACAAAGTGCCGGCTTAGCGGTAGCCTCAGCCTTAGTCACATTGGGTAGTCCACGAAGACCTTCCCAGGAATTAACGACGAAGGAACCGAAAAAAACTAGAAAGTCGGCCAGTCAACATCCGGAATCCACTTGTATTTAGCGATAAGCCGAAGAAAGTAGACAAAATGCAAATGTTGCAACGTGACTACGAGCCTTAGAATCGTTTCTGTGATCTTGCCTGTATTAGTGGCAGGACAATCGATTATCTTATAACTATGACAGAGCGACGTAGCAAATGTCAATGTCACACGACCTACGTACATACGTTGTGTGTCGATGACAAATTTTATAAGTGGTCAAAGTTTATTCTATCGTCGAATGAGAAGAACCGAAGCGTCGTTAAAACTTGGCTACGTCTTCATTCAAAGAAAATGAACGAGAAGATAATTTAATCAAGAAAAGAAATGATTTTTGTATTTATCGTCTTACACAAAAATTTTCGGTAAGTAGTATTCATTTTGAAAATTTATTTAAACATTCGGCGCGAGAGGGTTTATCAAGTAAGACGATTTCTTCACGAATTTAGATAACTTTTCAAACTGTTTCTCGAATTCATTTATACAGCAAGTAAAACGAGTATCCGCGGTTAAAAAGTTATTTGGATTTTAAATAACGCTTACGAATACTTGCGTTTACTTGCTATAGTTTCAATCAACGATGTATATTCTTGTATATATAGTATTTCTTAGATAACACTATTTTGCTTTTATCGTGAAAGATACAATATAATTGAGAACGTGTTTATTTTCTAATTAATAATGTATCGAATCAATTTACAAGGTAGTTTATATTGCCACACTTTTTACGAATGTGGTAAAATGCGTTTACTCGAAAGGAATATTCATGTTTCACTTATATTTCGTATCTTTTACGTTCATCAAATACATTAACGGCAATAGTATATCATACAGGTAAATATATCATAACTTCCAACATAAACCGGATAAAAATAGTGGATTTTTAATATCATTTTTACTATTATTACCATCATTGCCATCATCGTTATCCTCATCGTCGTCGTCGTCGTCGTCGTCGTCGTCGTCATCGTCGTCGTCGTCGTCGTCGTCGTCATCGTCGTCGTCGCCTTATCATCCTTGACGTCGTTATTACAACCATTAATATTAAAATAAAAGGAATTTCTTTTTGTTTTATATATATATATATATATATATATATATATATATATATATATATTATATATATAGGGGAACCTTAATAAACTAATTGGAATTAGTTGATAATTTTGACACTGAGAAAAACAGATTTGCCACGAGTGCTTTGAATGTATTAACATATGTTTATATATCGATAGGAATCAAAAATCATGACAAGCAAGAGGATAAATTGTATATTTTCATTTGGGTAGAATGGAAGATTATTATGGTCTGTAAACGAATGAAAATAATGGGGAATGTGTAACGGTACAAAAGTTACTGTTTATACCATCCTTTTATCCTAAGATATGTGTGAATATTAAATTCTAAATTATTGCAAGCGAATGGAGTTTGCGTTAAGAATGCAAAACTTTGTGTCCTTGTAGATAGAACGATAATTCTTTATCCAGTTTTGTACTTGAGTGGGTTGCGTATTGTGCCAAATCAATTTATCATATTGGTCTAAAGTCGAATAAAAAAGTATAATATTTATTAATATACAAAATTTAGCAGAGAATGTATAAAAAGGAATACGTATAAAGATAAGGGACAGAACAATCCAGGCTAAAACGTATTAATTGACATTAGTTATTTCTTTTTTACAGACGAATATTTCCATGAAATCTTCATGATTTTGTAATTAACTAGGGCATTGCTAATCATTTTTTTTACTTTGTTGGATAAACCAAAGAGAGAAGGTTGTCAATTTTATAATAAGTTATGATCTGGATTGTCTTATACTAGAAAGTGTTTTTATCTTACAAAGTAAAAATTAGTGCTGGTTTTGTTTCAATCTTCTAACAAACGTTTTCTTCCAATCTTTCAATAATAACATGTACAAATTTTTATCGTCTTTTACTTATTAGCTAGTTGTTTGTATTAAGCAAAATATGATCTCATCTCTGTATTGCTTTTATTTTTACTCGAGCGTTTATTAATCTTTTAGAAAAAATAATGTCCAATTTGACGTTTAATTTCATTCTCAAACAGAAGAAAAAAAAGAAAGAAAAAAAAGAAAAAAATCTCCAGCACTAAGAAAATACATTTGCAATATTCGTAGTAATTTTATAATTAATTTGCTGAGAGAAAATATAAAAATTGTTCACGATGCATTTCTCTAAGTGGTTAAAATACTCATATATAACTTTCTCTCTTTTTCTATATATATACATATATATATATATATATATATATATATATATATATATATATATATGTATATGTATATGTATATATCTTTTTCTATTATTATTTTGTTTAATGGGAATGTTACTTCACAAAGGTGCTGCCAGGAAAGTGTGCGAATAAGATTTCGTTCGACACATAATCGTGTAAGTTACTGCAAAGAAGAATGGTGTAAGTCAAAAAATAAAAGTGAAATTGAAATGCAAATATTTGTCTCCCTTTCGATATTCGATCTATATTTATTCGAGCAAGTGCAATTTCCAGTAATTTAATATAAAAACAGAAGCGACTTACATCATTCCTATATTACTTTAGATCTTATACGTTACAAATATTTTACTAGTATTCTCGTATTTTTTTAAGCAACGTAATGCTCCAATGTGTTGTTTTAATATTGCGACTGAATACAAATGTTATCCAGTTTCATTTTTCGACTCATGTTGACCAAGCATTTTTTACTCGGCTTAACGAGTACTACATATATGCGCTTTCAGCCCTGAACTTTTTTTTTCTTTTTAACATCCTTAATATAAATATTATCGTCTGATTACCTTCGACAAAATTGTCCAGATTTTAATTTAAGCTTCTATAAGATTACGTTTCATTTACGTAAACAATGTAGCGTCCTACGGATAAGTTGTTCACGTAAAATTTTAATTCTTTTTACTATTATTATTATTATTATTATTATTATTATTATTATTACTTCGATAAACGATAATAAATATACATATATATACATATATATATGTATATATATATATATAATACTTAATAATTGTTGAACGTTATGTATGTATATATAAGTACGACGCTTTCTTTTTATGTACTTCGACACATTACTCGAATATTATTTACCATGATTAATTTAGATATTATATTGTTTTAAATATAATTCTGCAAGGAACGATCAATCTGCAATGTTGACTGTTAAAAACATTTTATGTAGCATTATGTTATTACTGCCAACCCATGTCTTTTATTTATCCACTTCTTTATTGAGTTTTCTCGTGCGCTTGTCTTCTATAAGAGATTAGAATTCTTGAAAAAGTATGAAAGAAAACCAACAGTCTCTCGGCGAATTTGCTATTTTTAAAATCCTAATTTCCTCAGCGATGTCATACACCATTGTTGTTCATAATCCCGATCGCATAAGGATCTTCGAACAGACATCGTATTTTTTTCTTTTCTTTTTTTTTTTATCTTAATTTTCAAATAAAAATACGTATCGTAGCTTCTCTTTCATCGATAAAAACGATGGCTGGTGGTTGGATCCTATTGCGATTTAAATTCGTCCAAAAAAAGATAATTAAAGAGGATTAAAGAAAGGAGCAATCTTAATACGAGAGAGTTTTCTCTCCCACCCCTTCCCCCCCACTCTCTCTCTCTCTCTCTCTCTCTCTCTCTCTCTTTCTATATTTAGGAATAAAGGAGCGTTATTCAGTCATAATTCTTCTATTAGTCGGAATTTTTAAGTTTAGCCATATAAATAAATTTAATTTGGGGGTGGCGTGACATGTGCACACACATTTACAAGAGTTTGTAAAGAAGAAGAGGAAAACGATATAACGATATCTTTAATTGTAAGGAAAATACGATAATTTGTGTACATGCCGTATTAAAGATCTAATTAAAGATCATGACGAAAATTGAAAATGAATAAAGGCCGTAAACGAAATTTACAAAAAAGTAATTGCATACATATATACATATAATATCAATTTGAATTCTTATTTGCTGGAATAGACGGAGAAAGAGAGATATGAACAAATACTTAATAATTTAGGTAGATAGGTATATTATACATATTATAAATATATAAATACATATGTGTAACTTGCAACAATTTTTCTAGAACACGATCGAAAATATTTATTTTTATTCAATGCGTAGTTGTAAGCGCGCGCTCGTGAGAGAGAGAGAGAGAGCAAGAGAGAGAAAGAGAGAGAGAGAGTGAGAGAGAGAGAGAGAGAGAGAGAGAGAGGAGCTTTTGATAAGAAAAAGATTAAAGAAAAAGCCCTTAAAGTCGAGAAAGTAGTATATATGAATGGACCGTGTTACATCTCGACGAACCTTATTGTATATTTACTTCTCGCCTCGAACACGTAAACATACATACATACATGCATACATTTAATAGATACATCGCGTATGTACATATTATATATAAAGAAGGTAATGTAATTTGTATGCAGAATAATTATCATTGCCTTGTTATTATTAATCGCATTGAAATTTACAAAGATGAAAGGTTCTAAGTGTCAAAGAGATGATGTCTAAAGTATTGAGAACACAGAGCGTCTTACCAAAGTTACTAAAATTAAAATGTAGAGAAAACGTGACAGAGAGCAGAGAGAGAGAGAGAGAGAGAGAGAGAGAGAGAGAGAGAGAGAGAGAGAGAGAGAGAGAGAGAGAAAGAGCGCGAATGTGGTCACATTTCCGAATCTTTCTAAATAAAAAAATTTAATAATGTAAATATATATAAATAACGAGCGAAAATGATATTTTCTTTGTATTTCGATACTTAGCACCTTTCGCACTTTGCCTTCCTAAAATTGCTTGGAGTAAAAGAAAACATCTCTCCGTTTCGTACTGTATGCAATACCTATATACATAGATACATATGTAATCTTGAATTTGTATGTACATACATAAGTGCGTGAACCCTAGTCACGTTCGGTGACACGTAAGGTAAAGGAACGAGACTCTAAACATCCTGGGTAAACGTTTTACCGTTTAAAGAACCATCTATTGCTCGTAAATGAAAGGTCAAAGGAATCCTTGATATGACAATTCGACAAATGTACTCTACGCAATTCTTGGAAAAATAACTCGTAATGTCAAGGCGTACACTTTAGCAGAGATAAGATCGGTCGAAAAGATAAAATTCATTCTTAACTTATGAGCGACACTAACAAGAAGGCAGCTGAAATATATTTTATCGTATGGAACATGTACACGGCTTATACGACGCACGTTATATGGATCTATACACACACACGCATACACACACAGACACACACAACGACACACACACATACACATACATATGTCAGGTACACACTTTCTGCACATTATTTCTCATCCGAACGTATATATTCACTTTTAATCTAAGTAATATTCAGCTTTATCTAGTCTTTAAAAAGTGTGCATGGAATTTTTAGTCGTTCGCGGAGCGCCTGTAAATTTGCAGAAGAGATTTTTTTGTCCTCGTTTTATCGAATGCAATTCATTATTCGAATGCCATCGTGCTCATCGTACCGTTTATCTTTGACATTTTCCCAAGAATCAATAAAATATTAACTGTACGATCGCCTCTACGATCGTTTTAATTATCGAAAATTATTGCGTTGAGAAACGTTTCGTAAACGTACTTTTTCGTTTTGATTCATGCAAATTAATTGAAATATATCGAAAAGACTGGCAAATGGCATTTCTTCGGGGGAGGAACGTAAAAAAATCGAAAGGATGGTGGAGAAGGATGTCACTTATTTTTTAAACAGAGAGATCGCGAGATAATTTGTGTTTCTCTGTATAAACAAATGGAAGATTAGACGAAAACTTGAAATTATTAATCGTTTTAATTTTTTGTTAAAGAGAGAGAGAGAGAGAGAGAGAGAGAGACACGTTATAATGCGTATAGGGACACATAGGGACAAGAGAACGAGCGTATGTTTAAATAGTGAGTTTGAATGAATGGAGTGAGACATATTGTATTATATTAAATGAAACAAATATTGTTTAAATAAAATTGATATACATAATGGTTAGTATTGTTGTCGATCTTTTCAGGTTCTTTCGTTAACGCGTAGATCACCATCACAACAGTTTTATTTTCCGAAAGCGAGGAAGATGGAAGAAGTAAAAGGTAGTTACGTGACAATCAAATTTATTAACATATGTGATCTTTGATTTATTTTCCTTTTACTCTCTATTAAGATTTATAATTAGATAATTCTCTCGTTATCGTTCGTGTTATTATTAACTTTTTCGAAGTACGGAAAGTTTGTTCGAAGTAACGTCGATTGCCGCGAAAATTTACGACCAATCGGAAAAGACTTTTTCTCGAGTCGAGAGATGAGAACGACAGTCACCTTCTTTCCAACATTTTGTCCTTCGTGGACGTTACCTTTTTATCAAATTTTTTCTTTTTTTTCTTTTTTTGTTATTATTTTACGTTATCGATCGATAAAAGGGAAAAAGTCGAAATAATAGTGTAATAATGAAAGACGCTTCGATATCTTACCAAAGTAACCTTACTTGGCACATTAACGGCCGAGATAAGACGCAATAAGGTAGAATAATCAAGATGCTTTCGAGCATAATATCATACTGATGTAAGCATTCTAATTCATCGAATGTGGGTGTACGTATGAAATTCGTAACATTGTAACGTGTATTATATCGTATCACGAGCTTTATTATATCGATTTCTATAAATATATATTCTCTCAAGGACGATCAAAGATTTTTTACGTAGGTGCATAATACATATATATATATATATATATATATATATATATATATACTTAACATTTTTTCCTTTCGAAGAGTTAAACGAAACTGTCGGTCGATAATGGCAGAGATCGACGTTATCTTAGGATCCGCCATCGTATCTTATAGCATCGATTTTATTTCGTTTTATCGAAGAACAGATGGCCCATTTGTATCGTGGGTGAGGGGGGGGGCGGAACGTGAACTCGGTTACCTTACATCGAACGTAAAGTTATTAATTAATAAACGTATATCTTGATTATCCGTAAGAAATATCGTTAAGAGATTCACGAGGCAATCGGGTATCTTTGGTGAATCCAAGGAAGCTTTTCCGCTATGCAAT